CCACACCCCAGATTGGCCACGGCCGAGACATACACCCCAGATTGCCCACGGCCAAGATGTCTCGGCCACACCCCAGACTGCAGCCGCGGCGCGGTGCGGCATGACCGGGAAAAAAAAAAAAAAGAAAAAAAAAAAGAAGAAGACAAAAGTGCCTGTTTCGAACAGGCACCATGTGTATAACGCGGGCCACTGTTATTATTGCCGTTTTGAACTACGGTCGGGACCACTGTTATTATTGCCGTTTTGAACTACGGTCGGGACGGACCTGCGGACGACTGTTTTTTTTGCCCATTCCGAACGTGGGTTGTGACCCACGAGCCGTTGCCCCTAAATAAAAACAGGGCATGAGACTAGAAACAGGTGGGCGAGTTTTTCGATGGCGGGGTGCTGCAGTGTGCAGAATGTCTTCTTATCTTCTTTAAATTTGCCGATTTGAAACTTGCGCCATGAAAGACCAGGCTGCCGACAAGAGTTTTTTCTTGGCTTTCAAAACACAAAGCCTGACGCACTGCACTTGCTTTAAAAGACATCTCCGTTCATAATGAAGATGCCAGCTCTCATCTGTTACAATTCACCTAGGGTGAGCGTATTCCATCTCCTTGCTTTTTTTTTTTTTTTTTTTTTTTAAATTACTGAACTCATTCTCTTTGCAGCCTGCTCCTTAGCTTGTCTCCTTTCCTAGAAAGGATACTAGATTGAAATAGTAGATTCGTTACTTACTTTGTTTTCCAATGTTATCCTTTGAGATAATATATCCTTGTCTAGGATGCCAGGCCGAGAATACTAAGGTCTTGACCTGAAGAGAAAGCCCGACAATTATAGCCATATTTGGTTTAATTTTCAGTCCAGATACAGCTACTACAACTGGGGGTTCCTTTTTTTTTTTTTTTTTTTTTTTTTTCAGTCCAGGTTGTTGTAGAGGCTGTCTACTAGGCATATGCCAGGCCCATCAGCACCTCACCATTTGATCATGATCCCGATGTATTGCCTAACCTGTCGCGTATGAGACACCCTCCCACCCATACTCATCATCACTATCCGCGATGCATCCCCACTCCCAAGGTCCTACCTGAGTATACCTAGGATAGACCGGACTGTCACAGCGGTTATAGGCATCAGGGCTAAGCAGGTTGTCCACCTCCCTCCCCAGCCCTGATTGAAGCACTATCGAACGAGCCATGTCGTACAGGGCACTTCCACCGGTAGGGGTAAGCATGCCACTACAAGTCCCATATGCGAGCCCTAGTTTTTTCCTGGTTTTTAGAGAGATCCTAGCCTTATCATCATCAGATCCTTCTGGTTATTCTTGAATTCTTGCAGAGGTTTTTCAAACCCAGAGCATCTCCAGCTCGCATCCTCAGTAGGCTTACGGCCATGATGCTCTTCCCATACCTCTATCATCAACTGGATGTCTACTCATTCTATTTAATTTAGAATCCCAGGGCCTCCAGCTTCCGTCCTCAGTGGGTTCAGGACCACCATCCGCTCCCCCAACCTCTATCATTAACAAGAGCAACTCTGGGCTATTCTACTCTGACAGTATTCCTCATGCAGGTAACAGACCAACCTTCACCCCCTAAGACAACCTCTGATGCAGGTTCCACAACGATATTCTCCAGTGGGGCCTATCCCAGCTCGACGTCAACCCAGAGGACCCCTAAGACATCCACTACCGTAGGGGCCTCAACCCTCCAGTAGGGATAGTGTCCAACCAACGGCCCCCCCAGTGGCGTCCTCGGTCAAATTCCACCTTGAACCCATGCCCCCCCAAAGCTGAGCCCTAAGGTAACCAATACCACGTGATCAACCGCCCACAACCCTAGTCTGCATCCCCACAATCTTTATTCGTCAACTCATTTTTCCAGTATCAAACCTCGAATCCTGAACTTCATGCTTATCAGTGACCATACCGAGCTACAGTCTCGAATGGTCCGAACGTGTGCTCTGCTGCGCCCAAGTAAGGAACAAGTGTGCAAGCATCTAGACAACCCAATGGACCAGGTGTGCAAGCAAACCGATCATAGTCTAGACCCAACATATAACACCATGGCGGATCCCTTGGGTGGTGTGCAGGCAGTGTCTGTAATAGCTTACCTGCATCAGCCCAACGGGGTATGCAAGTGACCATGCATTATGTAGACGCCCGCCGGCATTATGTGACCAAGGGGGTATGCAAGTGACCATGCGTTATGTGAACCCGTAACCTCAGACCACAACGGGGGGTTCTATTCGGGGGTGAAGACGGTAGTCTTTAACCACCAGTACACCCAGGCCTGGTGGACCTCCACTTTTCCGAACTGCCAGCAGCACACATACCCTTCTTTCCCACTTTGCCCCTCTGCTGATTTTCCAGACCCTTTCCCGCCCCATGCCCTTTCCCTGGCAGAGACCCTGTACAACCTTGTTCTACTCACATCTCTTAATCATATAAGGAATCCTCCCCTGGAGCCCCCCAGGGAGTTTTCCTGCTAAGCAATTTTATTACTTCTCGAAGTGGTATCARCGCTTATTKGGTCATCTGGTGCCCCCSTCTGGGRGRTGAAGAGATACGGAAGACAAAGGCAACATTACTATAGTTTTGGATACACACACCTGCTCAGTTAATCCCCTGGAGACAGGGCAATCAATGCTGGCAGGCCTCATAATCATGCTTCTCAAACAACTCTATTTTTGATTCTGTATATGGGACGCTGGACCCGGTTTCCAGCAGGTGAGGCTCCCCACCAATAGATTTTCCACTGGGGGAAGTAGATGTGAAGAGCAGGTACTGGCAAAATGCTCGGGTCTTTGTGTTAACTGCGCCGGCCCCCCCCTCCCCCACCCGTGGCCCCATCCTACTTCCTGACCAGGGGGGGGGGCATTTCAACCTCATGTCTGGAATTGATCAAACGACAAGTTTGGAAGCATTAAACAAAAGGATTGATAAAGAAGATTCGGAAGTCATGATAAGAACCTACGACATAATTTCACATAAAAGAAATGTTCTCCAAAATTTAACATGAAGAGGTTCGAGATGCA